ATATCGTCAGTCAAGCGTTTGCAATCATGGAAGATTCATTCACGTTAACGTTATCAGGCAATTCTTCTATATTCGAAGCCCAGTACTTTCCCCCAATCGAACTTTCTCAAGATAAAAATCATGCTCTGGGACTCATCGAATTATTAACCTTTAATTCGATTCCTAACGTGGACACTGGTCACAACAAATTCTACGTGGGTGATGAAGTTATCGTTATACCCATTGGTAGCTACGAGATAGAAGATATCGAGAACTATGTGCAGAGTGCGTTGATAGATAAAAATATCCTAATTAGTATTAAGCCTAACAATAATACCCTGTGCAGCGAAATTAAGTGTAACCGTGAAATCAATTTTCAACCTGATGATTCGATTGGTCGATTGTTGGGTTTTACTCAACGCGTTTTGGAAGCTAATAAATTACGTACATCCGACGTACCTGTAGCCATTCTTAAGATGAACGCCTTGCGAGTGGAATGCAACATTACTACAGGCGCTTACATAAACGAACGTAAAGTACATACCATCCACGAATTCTTTCCGGTTGTACCACCAGGATATAAGATTATAGAGGTGCCGTCGCACGTCATTTACCTCCCAATATCGAGCAAGACAATAGATCACCTACAGCTTCGAATAGTCGATCAGGACGGAGACTTGGTGAATTTTCAAGGAGAAGTCATAACGATAAGACTACACGTGAAATCCATGTGATAATGGGGATCGTGTATAACCGAAAGATTGGTAGTGGTTATAATAGCGGCTATAATAATGAACCGTTATGTCTAAAAGGAATCAGTCATCGTCCGCGCTGCAAAGCGTTAACACCTCAAAACGTGTTATTCCTGAGAAATCTGGGACTGAAGGTCACACCAGTCGGAATTGGAAACTAAATCGTTCATTCTGCTGCTGCTGCATTATTTTTATCCGCTGCTTACCATGGAGGAAGAAACTTTAAATATTCGAACACCAATCACCTTCGATGAGTCTATAGCGCACTGCGAAACGCATGCACACCAGCCTTACGCATCGTCAACGTTCAACAACAGTGATAAAATACGAATCTCCGTCCAACATCAAGACTTGTGTTTACTACCGAGTAACTACCTTTAAGTTACTACCTTTTCCAGCTGACTCCTTCTAACGTTTTTATCCTCCGTTCGTTTATATTACTGTAAAAACCGAGGTAATTATTAAGAAACCGTTGTAGACCGTTACTACCGAGTAGAAGTTCGTTGCATGTATACGGAAAGCTCGTGAAGGAAGATGGTTCTACGGCGGTTACAAATACAACCTTGGTTAATAACGGCATTTGTCATCTTTTCGATGAGATTCGTTATGAAATGAATGGTATAGAAATCGATCGAAATAAGAACGTTGGTCTCACGAGTCTCATGAAGGGCTACCTTTCCTAATAAAAATAAGAATGCCAGTCACTTTGACCATTGCAATGTCAGAGACGTTAAACTCTTCTTGAATTCGCAATGCTACCCCTATGGAAATCTAAACCTTGACATTGATCGAAATCAGTTTGCTCTGCTGTACGAGATGTATGTAAACTTTCAAGCTACTTATTACGGCAAAGAGCATGAGTCCATCCTGAGAAAGAGTGATTTCCTCGTCTATGGTTCACTAATTGTCATCGATTGCTCTAAGCAAAATGAGTCGCTCAAATTTGGACCAGTCGACGTTCGTCTCGAATTCGAGGCAGACCAAAATTTCCCCACCGAAACATCAGCGTTCTGTTTAATTCTGCATGATCGAATAGTAGAATATAATCCAATTAGTGGTGGGGTAAAAAAATTAGTATAAAAACCCTACGATCATCTCAATGCAAGCAGTCTGTCACAATGGAGTTCATCGTGGACGTACAAGGTTTCAAGAAACCCTCGGACGAGTTTTTCTTGAAGGAGCTGTCTGTGATTGGAGTGGGAAGCCATTTCTCCTAGCCTGCGATGTTTCTGTTTCAACCACCGTGTCCATGTAGCTCTCTTCACTGTCTGTGATTGGAGTGGGTAGCGATTTCTCCGAGCCTGCGACGTTTCTGTTTCAACCACCGTGTCCATGGAGCTCTCTTCCAGCGAAATACAAGTGCATGAATTTGTGGTTACAACGCAACTTTCATGGCATGTCTTGGAACTCTGGCGATACATCTTACAACCAAGCCGGAAATATTCTTCGAGTTATTTTACGAGATGCTATCAGAATTTATGTAAAAGGATTGGAAAAGAAAAATTGGTTGGAGAAATTTATGGGACAATCGTTAAACATCGTGAACTTGGGAGATCTGGGCTGCCCTTCGCTGCAAAAATTGAGAAAGAATTCACTTACCCTATGTACGTATCATCATGCTCCGCATTTCAATTTTGCGATGGAAAATGTTAAATCGTTAAGGACTTGGATGATGGAATGTATATTTTTTGATTAAGAATAAAGTGTGTATATGAAAGAAATAAGCAGTTGTATTTTTTGTCACTTACGTGGCAATTTATTTAAATCATAAGTATGAACATTTACAAATATCGAAATTCCATGAGGTTGAATTTCCCACCGAGGTAACGCATACAAAGCCGATTCTCAGCGGTATCCAAAACCATCCGTTGAAAGAAATCCTCATCGTCCGTCAGAACCCTCGAGATCCTTGCTGGCAGGAATACTGAGAAGCTATTCTCCACGTCAACGATGTGTCTTGCTCCAAATTTCGTTTGAATTTTCCTTATGCTGGTAATCTTGTATTCTTTTTCAACCTCCAGTTCTGATAATTTTTTCGTTGGCAGGAAACCCTCCAGACGCGCCACTTTGTTAATTTTTGAGAAGTCCATTTTCTCACAGGTTCGATTAAATCTTCTTCTCAAACCTATTCTTACTTTCAGTTCACGTTCTTTCTCCAAACTCGACGAATTCCGACAGTAATCTAATGAAAGTGCACCAAGCTCTTTCTTATACAGAGGGCACTCTTCTTCTTAAGAGTGTGAAGGAATTTTAATTAAGTAAACAATTCATGGATCTACATTTCGGCATTATACAAAGGTTTGCTAAATTCTTTGACATCAAAGATTCACCGTCTCGATGCACAATTCCTCTCGTGCACATTAAATTATTGTAAACAATTTTTCGGTGACGTACAAAGGGTAATTTGAAATGTCCTTTGATTTTACCGTCTCCCCAAGGCCACTGTATCGTAGCGGAACTTGCTAAATTCTTTGACATCAAAGATTCACCGTCTCGATGCACAATTCCTCTCGTGCACATTAAATTATTGTAAACAATTTTTCGGTGACGTACAAAGGGTAATTTGAAATGTCCTTTGATTTTACCGTCTCCCCAAGGCCACTGTATCGTAGCGGAACTTGCTAAATTCTTTGGCAGCAGAGATCCGCCACCGTCTCAATGCGCAATTCTTCTCAAATAAATAGTGCACATTAAATTGTTCTAAACCATTTTTTCGGCAACGTACAAAGGGTTATTCAACACCTTTAATTTTTACCGTCTCTCCAAGGTCACTGTATCGTAGCGGAACGATAGTGGTGAAGAAGGCGGAAGAGGAACAGGGGGTTATGACGATAATGAAATGTCATCGGAATTCTTCTCGAATAAATAGTGCACATTAAATTATTATAAACAATTTTTTCGGCAACGTACAAAGGGTTATTCGACACCTCCTTTGATTCTTACCGTCTCTCCAATGCCACTGTATCGTAGCGGAACAATAGTGGTGAAGAAGGCGGAGGAGGAACAGGGGGGTTATGACGATGATGAAATGTTATCGAAATTCTTCGGTGACATACGAAGGATCATTCTTGATCTCTACCGACTCTACATGTTAGTCTGCGGGGAAGTGTAAAGGGTAGGAGCTGCCTCGGAATCGCAAGTACAAAAGGTCAATGTACTCAATTACGTCTGATGTAAAATTCCTAAAATCTGCCGTAATATTTCTGAAATCTGCCGTAAAATCCCTGATACCTGCCGTAATATTTCTGAAATCTTCCGTAAAATCCCTGACACCTGACGTAAAATCCCTGACACCTGACGTAAAACTAGGGCCCCCTTCCGATGACGTCAGCCGATGAAGGAGTCGGCGCCGTCGACTACTGCACGCGCGCGCAGCACCCTCTTCAAAGAAAAAATTTCGGTGCCGTCGGTAAGCAGAAATCTTTCATACGGGGCGCAATCACCCTAACTTACCATACACAGGGGGGCGCCAACGTCGCTAACCTAGGGGGCACCACGTCCCTAACTTAACACGGATGAGAACCCACAGGTCGGTAATATTTCGGTGCAGGAATCTTGGTCCAGAACTCTCCTTGTATAACTACTAAAGTTACATCGAATTTTAGATGCGATTTTTAAGCAAAAAATCGAATGTCATTTTCAAAAGCGTCCCAATTTTTTTAAAATTAATATTTTTCAATTATCCTTTGTATTTCCCTCCAAAATCTAATATAATTAACGGAAAAATTTTTACTTTTGTTCCAGGACCAAATCTATTGCAGTTGTACTGCTGCCCGTGGGAGAGGAAACAGAACTTACCGCGCGCGGCGGTGGCTATCAAGCCGCCATTTTGGGAAAAAAAATTGTTTTCGGCACATGAAAAGACAATAAACAGCATGCAAAAAAAAATATTTGTCTACAACTTTTTTTTCCTATTGAAAAAAAAATCGCGAAATACGGGCGAAAAAAGAAGCGTCACAGTGGTGTTGTCCCTTAATTAACACATGAAAAGAGCTTTCTAATAATTTGGAAGGAATATTGAAGCAAGATAGTCCCGCTTTAATGAGAAATTGGTTGCACCGGCATAGGTGTAATTCTCCCCTGAACACGTTGAGCGTGACGTCAGTCCCTAGGAACTGATGGTGAACTTTCCGTTCAGGCGGCGTCACTACCTGGGGACTGACAGCGGATTTTTTCTATCTGATCGTCTCTTAGAGGTCGCGTTTTTGCCGTTCCCCATCCCATTATCTTCTGTTTATAATTTGTATACTTATGCATAGACTGCATCATTCCCACAGTCCAAAAGAAAGATGAAAAGGTGAAACAAAGTAATCTTCTGTTTATATTCTCTATCCCAAAAACATATTGAGCGCTCGATACCAAGTGTTTACTCGCTACCGCCTGAGCGGATAAGGATAGCAAAATCGGCGCCGCGCTCAGCGTATTAAACGACGTTTTCTTAAAAAAACACAAAAACATGTATAATATCTCCTATTTTTTGTTTAGTACTTTTAAATGCAATTGGTTTCATTTGTTGATAATTGTAGAGTTTGCAGCGAAGAGTTTATACTTTTTTTTTTCTGCCTTGACTTTGCCCAGGTGCGTGGAATTACAGATACTATCGAACTTGATTCGATTATATATTTCTGGTGTATATCAGTATCGAATACTGTAACGTAACGGAGCGTATATTTATTTATTTCCATTATCAAGAGCGCACACGTAATATTTTCATTTTCGATTATATAACTCCCGATGATGGAATTAGCCAGGCGACTGTGATCTAAGAGCATTCTGAGGGAAAACAAACCGAAAACCAAAACAAATAAAGTCCCTTTAAACTTTACATGGGAAGATATTTTAAATTACCCGAAGAACATAATACTTGCGGGTCTCATAGATGGAGCTACGCAACAATGAAAAAATTAAATCATGTAATAATGTATGCTCCGCGAATATAAAAGCCCAGCGGAACGGTGACGAAATTCATTCAGTTATTACACCTCCTACGGTAAAGTTCAAGAGAAAAAAGAAGGATTATAAACAGAATTGAGAAAGTAAAGGAGTACTGACCCTTCTTGGATAGTCTAGAAGGGTTCGTTGAAGTCATAGCGCCTCCGAACGATACCCACTAGCTAAAACGCGGACGAAAGAAAGAAAAAGGGTTACGAGCATTGGAAAACCATCCGACCATCTTGCTTCTCAAGACTTCGACACCATACTACCTAAAGGTATCTTGACAGCAGGTGGATAGCACCACCATTAACTGTACACGGCCTTCTGATCCAAGAAACCACTGAATTACGGGACCACACTGGTGAACAATATAGCGTTGCCACGCCATACTGAATCCCATCCTTAAAGTAATTGGTAACCAATATTGTATTGCGAACCATATGTCTTCCAAATACCTGGTAACTGTACAACATTGGCGGATAGCATTAAGGTAGCTTAGCTATATGCCCAACAATAACCATACCTTGCATCAACCAGGACGATCATTGGCAAACCATATGGCGTGGCAAACCATATGATCAGTTTGACATAATCATGATCCACACCTCTGTGAGGGGCAAGGTTGAAATCAGAGATTAGAAATAAATATACAAGAAACGCTCTCGAACTCAACCCAGTAGGAGCTTATTTAACAATCTGTAGCGAGATAGATAACCTTTTTTAATCAATACATGCCTGAATTTTAAAAGAAACGGATTTGTTGAATCACATACCTACAAATCTGATTCGTCCGCTCAAAGCACGAGCTCTTTAAGAAAATCCTATACCCATCACGTGGTAAAACATAAGGTTTCACAACGGCTCACTAAAGAAAAAGGTAACAATACATATAGGCAGTATTC